TTTATTTCAAATTTTTTTATATCATGCTACGACTTATATATACCTTCGGTATAACTCCTTTACACCATATTAAAATTTATTTACACCCAAGGACAGACTTGTCTAAAATGAAACTCGTAAGGGCCATCCACCTTGGTTTTACCAAGGAAGCTTCTTGAACGCCCTAGGGCATTTATCTAAGACCTTTATATCTATAAACAATTATTTGAAAAAGAAAAGAAGAAATTGGGATCGAAACGGATGATAGAGACGCAGCCTCGGGGAAGAGAGAGAACAAATTGAAATGTTATCCATGCATGCAGCTTCGTTATTCTTACAAAATAAACAATTTTGACTTTAAGCATAGTGTTCTGATTTAATTGCCAAGTGAATTGCCGTCGAGGGTTGCAATGTTCTTGTTTGTTTTATTGCCAAACCTACTTTTCACTAGACAAAAGAGAAATCCAAATTTATGGAGCACCTCATGGGTTCTTATCTCTTTTATACTCCTAAATTCTCCTTAATAATCACAATCTTAAAATATCAATTAATTTATTGAGTTATTCAACGACCGTGACTAGTGGGAATGGATTTACATTCACACCTTGTGGTTTCACCCCCATTGTATTGGACTTAGAAGGACTTGTTTGATTCCTTTGTTTCGTTATTCTTACAAAATACACAAATTGAAATGTTATCCATGCATGCAGCTTCATTATATAGATGTCCAATGGATATTGGACACTGATTGGTCTAATTGTTAATATTTCCTAAAAAAAAGTGTCTAAATATAATGGGTGAAAATAAATGTGAACGGACGCAAATAATTAGTAAATTAGGTGCACTTAACGTAATTAAATAACTCATATTTTCCTTTTGAAGGTAACTTGGTAAACTAATTTGGAAAGGTTAGAGTTCCCAAGTATTTCTCGGAGTTACCATATTTGATGATGCTTGAAATTAAAGGTACCTAAGAAATAACTACCATGATTTACTCAATTAATTAGGTTTTCCTTAATTGTGAATTTTTTTTTTTTTGCCATTTTTGCATGCAGTTGGGAATCAGAAAGACAACTTATATAACACAAAAAAAAAACAGAAATATTTATTAATCAAACGATAATTGACTATAGGGCAAATAAAAATGCAAAATAATAAAAAAGGTGTTTAACAACAACGGAAAGCTTTTACCATGTCATGAGTAGAGGCTCGTCCAAGTCATTGAAAACATTGACATGAATATTGTCGTTGGTTGTAGAATTGATAAGAGGTCCCGGAAACATGCCATTGATGGTGATAACCTATTCATCCAACAGAAACATAGAAATACTAAACAAAAAATTACCTAAATATAAGAAAATCACAGACTCAATGTTCAACAAAATCCAGCAAGAAGAACTGAGAATTGGGATCACAAAGTTACCGGCTGATTGACTGAGACAATTGGCTTGATTCTTGTATCGATTGCAACATGCCATTCTAGGAAAATATCCTCTCCTTTTGCAAAAGAGACCAGGAAAATCAACAAAAACCCAAGGAGAAATTTGCATGCACCGTTGCTTAAGCTAGCCATTGGTTTTGGAGAAAGAAGGGGTTAGCGTTAATCTGGGGTGCGAGAAATTATACAAAGAAAGTTACAACTGTATTATAAAGTATTAGTTTCTGGTGGAAACCAAGGATACTGGTGATAATTCCGGAGCATGCACAGAAAGGAGACAAGAAGAGAGTAACAAAGAGCTAAACTTTGCTGTTTCGGTGCTGAATGAGAAATACGAAGTTCTCTATTTAACAGCAATATTCTTGTTTATATTAGTAAGTTGCCTCTATTTCTTGTTCCTGCAGTTTGTGACATTTTTTTAAGGTATGTTCGTCTCTAAGCAGGACTCTTATGGCCTGCCAAGGAAACTGATATCTTTTTGGGATCTTGAATATATGCGTATTGAAGATTTCTTTAGTATCAAAATCACGAAAAGTTAGAGAAATTTTTTCTTTATTTGTTTCCTTGAATGTTTTTTCTCATTTGTCTTTATTACCTGTTAATTTCAGTTTCTGGACTAGAGACGTACAAATACAATTTACTTCCAAACATACATAACTAGCGCTCAACAATGAGAAAAAAAATTAAAAAAAAAAAACTCCTACCATACACTAACAACGGCTTCTCAAATCACAAGCAATTTTCAAACTCAAGCAATTTTCAAACAATATTCTCTAACATAGATATCATTCTCTCACCGGGAGAAAGGCCCTCTTTTATTTTTCAATAAAATCATTGAGAATTGTTAATAAATCGTACACACACACTTATCTCTGCCCTATAGAAAGGAGTATTTTATTTTATTGTACTCAAATGTACGAAAGTAGAAACATTTAAACCTTGTAAATGTATCGTTTAGCTTGAAAAAACGTTGACTAGGCCCCTTGGGGTTGGCTCGGATGGTTTCGGGATAGACTAGTTAGGTCTCGAGGTCGTGTATTCAAGTCTCTATCGCTTGTGTATCCTTGGGGGCAGGATGCACAGACACAGAGAGATTAGTCTGAAAAAGTTGAAATATTCCCTGTGTTGAAAAAAAAATTGAAAAACGTTAACTAGATCCGGTAGAGTGCTATGGTACTTAATTATTATCATTGTATTAATGATACTTTGCCAATTAATGTCTTAGTCCAAATCTGCGTACGGCTTCTCCTCAAACAAACCTTTTTTGAGCAATCACAACTACTTCCATTCCATGGTTCTGGTTATGTCGAATGACAACGACGGTTTGTCGTTGTTGTCCATTAGCAGCTTGCCATTGATGTTATTTGCAAAGAGGCATACTTAGATCTCAGACACTGTGATCTACAAACTTACAGTCACCTATTATAACAAGTTTTTGTAATACCACAAAACACTTTTTCAACATTGCTAATTTATGCTCCAAAAAAAAAAAAAATTGCTAATCTATGTGTAGCCCCAATTTTACTTAATATCTTTTTCTCATGCTTAGTGCTCCCTTTCTCCATCTATTCCCCATCTTCCCACCTTTCCTAGGCTTCCACTGCCTTTACATTGTCTACTTTCCTCCACTCACCCTTCCTTACTGTGCCTCTTTTGCTTCATTCTAGGTGCCCTGAACACAAAATATTTATTATTCAATTTTGATACGAAATAAGAATCAGGGCACCCACACTTTTTTTTTTTTTTTGACAAACGATACCAATTTTATATATATTAACACTTGAAATTACAAGAGTTAATTACAAAACGGGGTAACTACCCCCATATCTTTCCTAGCTAGTTCTGATAACCAAGATGGGAATGATCCCTCCCATTCAATTATCCTAACTGACTTAACTACAAATTGAGCCAAAGCATGGCTACAAGTATTAGCAGTCCTGGGAATAAACAAAAACACACAACAGTCAAAGTTCTTCTTCAAGTCTTCAATGTCATCCAGGATCGTTTGCAACTTACAATCCTGTCTATTGCTTGAGTTGATTAGGCTTACCACACATTTGCAATCAGATTGGACCTCTATTGTAGTCCATCCTGCATTTTTGGCCATTTCCAACGCACTCCTTATTGCCATTGCTTCCTCGATTGCTGGTACTCCTCTCCTCCGTGTCACGATGCCTTTAGCTTTCACTATCTTTCCACGCCAATTCCGTGCAATGATCCCCAGGCCTGTCCGGACCATCTTAGCTGAGAGTGCCGCATCCGTGTGTATCCTTATCACCCCTTCTTTAGGTGGTTCCCATTTCTGTTGTGATTGCCCATTCTCCTCGGCTGGTGTAGCTGGTCTTCCATTGGTTTCGTTGCAAGCTTCATACTCAAGCCATTCACTGTGAGCTTTGTCGACAATCAGTTTTGCATTCCCCCTCTCAGCTTGGAAAGTCATTTTGTTTCTAGCCTTCCACACTTGCCATAAAATGCTAACCGTAAGCTGGATTCTGTCCAGGCCATGCGCCTCCTTTGCTGATTGCATCACAGCAACCCACCAGTTCCAAAAGTTGCCTTGTAGTTCAGCTATCCCATCCCATTTCACTGGAGCAAGTTTCCATACCACTTTGGCAGTTGGGCAAAAGAATAACATATGTTCAATGGTTTCAGCATTGTCACCACAGCAGGAACATATGTTACTTCCCTTTCCTATCCTCTTAAAAAGTGTTTCATTTGCAGGCAAGGCATTTTGTAGGCATCTCCATAGGAAGTGTTTTAGTTTCAGCTTGATATTCAAACTCCACAGCCTTTTCCATACCGTATGTTTCCTAATTTCCCAACTCGTCTCAGGTTCATGTGCCGTTTTGCTCCTCATGTTGTCAACTGTCCCTTTTGCGACAGCTTAGCCAGTCTTTACTGTGTAACTTCCAGATTGGCTATACTGCCAATAAAACCTGTCTTTCCTGCCAAAAATACTAAGAGGGATGCTGGAGATGAGAGTGATGTCTTCACTCCTGAACCACAGCTGCAGGAGATCAGATTTCCACCTCCCATCCTCAATTAATTCATGGACATATACGAGTGGGCAGCTTGTTGGTCTTGGAGTTGATACACAACCATTGGTCGATCCAGGTATCCACTTATCCTCCCAAATCCTCACTGTTCTACCATCTCCCACCCGCTTCCATAGCCCTTGTTGCAATAACTCTTCCCCCTTGTGGATACTTTTCCAGCACCAAGAAGCCGTGGGCGGGGGTTGTGTTTCTATCCAGTTTCCCTCTTTCATGTACTTTGCTTACTAGCAAATTTGGATTAGTGATGACTCTCCAAATTTGCTTCGCAAGCAAAGCTAGATTGAGAATCTCTAAGTCCCTAAAACCCAACCCCCCTCTACCCTTCACATCTGACAGCTTGCTCCATTTGACCCAATGCATCTTCTTTTCGATTCCCCCCCTCCCCACCAAAATCTAGCTAACCTAGAACTAATCTCCTTACACAACCCACTAGGGAGTTTGAAGCAAGACATAATGTAATTAGGCATGGCCATGATTACAGATTTCATCAGAATCTCTTTACCCCCTTGACTGAGCAGCTTGTGTTTCTACCCTTGCAACTTGCTATTTATCTTGTCTTTCAGGTACCCAAACACCTGGTTCTTATCTCTTCCTATAGTCATAGGTAGACCTAGATACTTACCACTTTGGGCCTCCCTCATATTATCCAACACCTTACACACCTCCTTCCTAATCCTGTTGGGAGTGTTTTTAGAGAAAAACATGGCAGATTTTTCAAAGTTCACAACCTGTCCAGATGCTTGGCCATAGTGGTTGATGACTTCCTTAATCTTCAGAACTTCCTTCTTACTTGCTTTGCAACACAACAAGGAGTCGTCTGCAAAAAACAAATGTGACACCATGGGGCTGTCTTTACTGACTTTGATTCCAGTGAGTTCCTTTCGATCCACAGCTTTATTGATTAAATTGGAAAATCCTTCAGTGCACAAGATGAACAGGTATGGAGATAAGGGGTCTCCTTGCCGAATGCCTCTAGAAGGCTTAATATATCCAACCTTCCTACCATTCAAGTTAAAGGAATATGAAACAGAGGAAATACAAGCCATGATCCATTGGACAAAAATAGGACAAAAACCCATGTGTATCATAATTCTCCCCAAATATTTCCACTCCACCCTATCATAAGCCTTGGACATATCTAGCTTAATGGACATGAAACCAACTTTTCCAGATCTTTTGTTTTTCAAGAAATGTAAAATTTCATGGGCAATCATGACATTGTCTAAGATCTGTCTCCCTGGGACAAAGGCTGACTGTGAGGGGGTAATACAGGGGTGAAGGACAGATTTCAGCCTATTAGCTAAGATTTTGGAGATAATTTTGTAAAGCACTGAGCATAAGCTAATAGGTCTGAAGTTAGAGAGAATCACTGGATTGTCGACCTTTGGAATTAAGGAAATTAAAGTTTCATTTACAGATTTAAGGAGGTTTCTAGTATGAAAAAAACTAGTAATGGCATGTATCAAATCATCTTTAATGATGTGCCAATATCTTTGAAAAAAATAGAGAGGACATACCATCAACTCCAGGGGCTGTGTTAGGGAACATAGAGAAAGTAGCGTGTTGTATCTCCTTCTCGTCCACTGGTTTAATCAACTTTGTGTTCATAAGATGGGAAATAGTGCGAGGTATTCCCTGTAGCACTTCATCAAACTCAGAAGGTTCCGTGGAGGTGAAAAGTTCCTGATAGTGTTTGCTCAGTTCCTCTTCCACTTCTTGTTCGCCTCTACACCACTCTCCATTCGCCTTTTGCAGCATATTGATTCTGTTCCTTTTCCTTTTTGCCATGACACTTAAGTGAAAGTAGGCTGTATTTTTGTCCCCCTCTTTGAGCCATCTACTTCTTGATTTTTGACTCCAATAAAGCTCTTCATCCTTGTAGGCCTTGCTCAATTGTAGCTTCAGGTTCGCCGCAGTCCCCTTGTCCCACTCTTCTTGCTCCCTTAGTGCTTTCAATTGTCCTTTTAATTCCTGGATTACTGCCCGTGAGTTACCTTTTGTTGTTCTATGCCAATCGATTAGAGCTAACCTGCACTCTTTTATTCTTCTTACCACCTTGAACATTCGAGAACCATGTTGATCTTTGCCCCACGCATTCTTGACGACTACCTCAGAAGAGTTGTCTTTTGCCCAACGTTGGTCAAAAAAGAATCTTCGTTTCACTCTCTTTTGCGCCGGGCTAAAGTCTAAGAGAAGAAGACTGTGGTCAGATGCCTCCTTTTCCACATGCTCACAGATTGCTTTCTCATATTGTTGCACCCAGCCCACACTCCCTAAACATCTATCTAACCTTTCTTTTATTGCCCCTTGCCCTTCCCAAGTGTTGCTCCAGGTCCACGGTGCTCCCTCGTATCCTATATCCACTAACTCATTCTCAGAGATGAATCTATTAAACTCCCTAAAGCTCCCCTCCGCTCTCTCTCTCCCTCCCCATTTCTCCCCATTGGAACAAATATCATTAAAGTCACCCACTAGGATCCACTTATCTCCCCATTCCCTCTTTTTTTCCTCTATTTCCTTCCATTGTTGCTTTCTTATACTTTCCTCTGTACTTGCATAGATTCCTACCATCCACCAGTGGTCGTTATTGTTCTCATCCACAACCTCTGCTGCAATATACCAATCCGTACCATATACATTCCCCAAAGTAATCTCCGCATTCCAGAACAAAGCTAACCCCCCTGCTTTACCTTTAGAATTAATCACATAACTATTCTCCATTCTAACTCTTTTTTGTATCGATTTCATGAATGGTTCCTGATTTTTCGTCTCACTCAAAAAAACTATACTAGGAGAGTGGAGGTGAATTACCTCCTTGAGTTGGGGAATTGTCAAGGGGCCTCCTGCACCTTGACAATTCCACACCGCAACCTTCATTGATAAGGTGGAGGCATTGCGGGGCTAGCCTCCAATTCCCCTCCTTGTTGGGTCATAGCTGGAAGCACTTTTGCAAGCTTGTGCTTTGGACCCTCGACATTGTCCTCGTCCATCATGTCCAGGTCTTGTCTGGTGTCCTGCTCTTTTCGCTTCCCCCCTAGCCTGCTCAGCAACCCATTATCCGTTAGCTCCCGTGAAGGTGCTCTTGTGGTACGCAAGCTCCTCCTCCATTGTTTCACCCCCCCTTGTATCTTTCCTTTCCCTGGAGGCTTACCATTTTTATGCGCCATTCCTGTTTCTGTACCTAGCAAGTTCCTCTTCTCAGCTGCAGCCACCAATTCGCTGACCGTGTCTTCTTCTGTTTCCATGGCCTCTTCGGGTATGATTACATTTCGAACTCTACCTTCCCCCAGGTCCACTGTGACCTTACTGATTTCAACGATTTCCTTCCCTTCACACCTGCTTTCCTCTCTTAAGTAGTTCCTCATGATTGACTCCTGTCTCCCTACATTTTTTCCCCTCAGTGTTTTCGCCCAGAATTTCTCTCCACTTATCCTCATTTTCTGCTTCTCTCTTATCCTTATCCATGTCCTTTCTTTCCTCCCTTCTGGTACTTGTTCCAGCTACCACCTCAGGCCCTTTGCCCATGGTGATTCCAGCATTTGGTCCAGTCATATTGCTTGCAGGAGTTACCACCACTGCCTTGTGATTTATTTCGCTGCCATCCATTTTCGTAGTTCGCAAAGGAGAGACCATTATGTTCCCTCCTCTCAGCCATGCCCCATACTGACCCTCCCTCCTCGACTGCCCCTCCTTCCTTCCCCCAGTACATAGTTTGTCCCCATGTCCAACTATCCCACATTTGTAACAAAAATCCGGACATCGCTCATATTTGAATTCTACCCAAGTACTCACACCTTCCAGCGATACTAGAGTTCCTCTCGGCAGAGCCTGCAGCAGGTCTATCTCCGCTAATATTTTTAAGTGCCTCCTCTCCTTCCTCCCTCCTGGTGGAACAATTACCTCCCTGGTGGCTCTAAAAACTCTCCCTAATTAGAATCCCACTGTTCTACACACCCAGTGGACGGGTAAGTTCCAAATTTGTACCCAAAGCCAAGCAAACCTGAAGTGGTTGGGGTTTCTGTCACACCCCAACTCCCACTCTTTGACCACTAGGATTTGATTATCCATGACCCAAGGCCCTCCCATGAGAACTTTCTCACGATCTTGTTCCTTTTCTAACTGAAACTGAAAGATATTTGGGCCCAGTTCCGTAACTACCATATTCCTCGGATACCCCCAAGCATGATTAGTGAAGTTTTTGATGCCAGTGAAGTTTGCCACCTTTTCTCCTATCAATTTCCCAACAAGACACCTACTGCAATCTTGGACCCCCTCACTTATATCCTCGGAACATAGAGCTATCCCTTCCCTCTCTGACTGTGATAGCTCAAATTTACTAAAGGCTCGAGCTAGCTCGTCCTCCATTTTGTCGAACACCTGCTGTGCCTGGTAACCCGCACACTATTTCCCTTCTTAGTAGCACCAGTTGGTTAAACCTGCAAAACAGAGGAGAAAAACACACCGAAAAAAACAACTCAGAAAACTAACTCCCTATAACAATCTACACCACTGATCTAGCAAGGCACCTAAGCTCCCACCCAGAAAGGTTATGGTTAATATCCGATAGTTATCCTATGGATCATGGTTACATTTCCACTTGGAAACAGAGTAGTAGTCTCGAAAGTGATCAGAGTAGATGACCCAATTGGGTGGTTTCAGACGTACAGAAGGTGAGCAGATACTATTGTTTGTTTGAAAACCAAGAACTCTCTACTTTGGATTGCCGCTAACCGCATGAGGCGTGAAACCTCCTAGAGGCAGGAGATGTGCTCTCAAATAAGAGAGAGAGGCTCTCAAAGTAGAGAGAGAACTTCCTTTGGTTGCTACTCTTACGAATCAGGGCACCCACACAACCATCAAAAAACTCAAGAATTAGGTTGCACAAAACCTAAGGATAATTTGGAAGACAAGAAGGTAGGAGGGGAAAAGAAGGTTTAATTAAAGATGATAGAGAACGTTGGGTATGGGTGACAACCTGGTGTTGCCCTCCACTTTTTCTACCTTTCTTGTTCAAGCCTTGATTCCCAATTGAGTTGTATAACAAATTTAAGTTAATCTTGATTTGTGATATTGTGAACTTTTCTTTTACTAATTATGATTTGTGAAAGCAAAAAATGCCACAAAAGTCATGGTAGAAGGCAGGAGCTTTGTTCATACAAGGCGGAGAAGATGGTTAAGGTTGCTTGTGAATACAGGAGATTGACAACGCGAGGAGGCTGAGGGGACTGTTGGCAAAATTTGGAACTATGGGAGAAGAGTATATAAGTTGATTTGCTTTGCTTATATAACGAGGCAAGCCGGTAAACATTTTATTCCAAAGTGATCGCATGGCTATAAGGCGTCTGTAACTCAGAACAAGTTACGGACTGTGATAGTGCTATTTTCCTACTTGCAAAATAGAAATTAATGTTGATTATAACTACAACTGATATTTGATAGGTATAAAGAAAAGTTTAACATCTCTTTTCATAAGGGTAAGATCCCAATTTATTTTCTTTGTTTCAAAGGACTAAGAGCCGTATTTTTTGTAATTCAATTTAAAAATCATTTTCATGACTTGATACCTGAAATTAATATCAAAAAGTGACGCCAATTAGTCAAAAAGCACTTGATTTAGAACCAATTAACCACATTCTACATTATCAAGTCCCAAATTTTGACCATGACTAGCAGTATTATAGTCGAAAAAATGAAGATAGCATTAAGCCAGTATTTGAGGTCAAATTAGCTCATAACTCTCAATTTTCTAGTGTTGTTTATAATTGTGTATTCCAATAGATTTTGTCTCAGGTTGAAAAATAAAGAGACTTCCAATCATTTTATAATGTTTAGTTTCTTATTGGGCTTGCATTAAATTGGTAACTAGTGTGGGTTCGTATGCATAAAGCAGTTTACAAAGCACACTATAAATATCAGCCACTCCTCGTTTACAAAGCACATTCACAACACAAAACTCCAGTTGAACTTTTCTAGCTTCTCACTCTTTCCTCCTTCTTCTCTTTATTCTCTTTTCTCCTTCTCTACTGGGTTTATACGATATTTTCTATTTTCGTTTCTTCTTGTTTACAAGAAGAAGGCTTGTTTAATTTTGGAAAAATATTTCAATTTTTTGAAATAATTTCTAAAAACAATGCTATTTAGCATGACTCAAGTTTGTTCAAATTATGTCTTCAATTTTGTTAGCATTGTTCATATTATTTTGCAACAATCTAAGAAACTATGGCCTCCAACAATGTTAGCAAATCACATCCATCATCAACATCAGTTGTAGTCGCATTGCCATACGCTAAGCCTTTTCCAGACATCTCCAAAATTGAAATTTCACTAATGAAAACTTCAAAAGGTGGCAAGAATGTGTACACTCATTACTCGACATCCACGGAGTTGCCTATGTACTAATTAATGCTCAACTTGCTGTAATTGCAAATGCTAAGTCACAATAGTCATAACAATATGCTAACAAGGTATGTCGACATACTATTTTACAAATACTTTCTAATGAAATATTTGACATAGACTCCAGCTGCAAGGAAGCCAAATCTATTTTTGAAGCTTTGATAACAAAGTTTACTATTGAATATGCAACCAAGCAAAAATTTGTCGAAGAAAAGTACTACCGGTGGTAGATGACCGACGACAAGGAAATGAAGGTTCAAATCATAGACTACTAAATGTTACTTGAAAATTTGAAAAATGAAGACATCAGTCTACACGAGAAATTTGCTATAGACATGCTAATTGAAAAGTTGCCAAAATCATGGACTGACTACAAAAATAACCTAAAACATAAGCAGAAGAATTACACCATTGAAGAACTTGTGAAACACATCCTCATTGAAGATTCCAACAGGAAGGAGTTAAAACCAGCCAAAACCAAGGAGATGACCTTCAAAATCAATATGGTACAAAACAACAATAAGAGGTACATCGACAAGTCCCAAAGTCATAAGTCCAATAATTCCAACTTTAAGAAAAAGAGAGGCAATTGCTACGTTTGTGAAAAACCAAGACACCATATTGCCCGTTGTAGATACAGAAACAAAGGTGACAAAGCAAATGCTAATCCTCCTAAAGTTAATTTAATCGAAGGAGATGAAATAATTGTTGCAGTCATCTCTCAAGTGAACATTGCAGAGGATGTGAAAGAATGGATGTTAGACTCTGAGGCTATTTAGCACATATGTGCAAATTGAGAAGCATTTACCTCCTATACTTCAATAGGGGATGATGAAGAAGTGGTCTACCTTTGAGACTCACAAACTACTTGTGAGGACCCGAAAATTTTCTCATTTTATCTCATATTACTGGCTTATCTAAATGTTTATCCACCTGTTCTCTCCGAACCATTTATTTCAACCCTTTTAAATTCATTTTTATGGAATCATATCCTATTTATACTTTTAAAACGTCTCGCTAACAAATTTAAATTTTTTGAAGACTCGTTTATTAAGGAATAACAAATACACACCTTCAAGATGACAGTCAATCTGAGAGTATAATGATTTTGGAGAATTAAGGATGATCAATAGGGGACTAAGGAGAGTTAATTGAGAGATTAGATGTAATTAAGTTAAATAAAGTTTTTATTACACGTACGTCGATAATTTCTCGAAAGTCGTACCACATGACAAATTGGAGACTTGAGAAATTAATACTAGATTCATGTGAGGACTCGCAAATTTACTTATTTTAAATTCCTATTATTAGTTTATTTAAATATT